CGAAGCTGTCTTTTCTGCTTAATGCATCCATTGTAATGATATCATACGTTCCGAAACCAGAATTATTTCTTTTATATAAAAATGTTTCATTTTACTAAATTTATTCTAAAACAGATATTTTACTAATATCTGCTATCATTACGTACTTTTTCATTATTCTCTTGCTTATTCAAGCCTATATATTTCAGAAAGAAGAAAAGATTCAAGCCATCAAGCAGAAGCTGGCTGAACGTGACGCCCTAAAAGGAAGCGGCACAAGTCGTTGCAGGCAAGGTCAGCCCAAACAGTCCTTCATCATTGCTGACTATCCGACCGGCGAGGGAACATCGGACAGTGCTATCGGTGGGGGTATTTCCATTTGTACAAAATCCTCCCGCGCTTCCGCTTCTGATGTTGAGTTTTCAGAGACGTACTTATAATCTCCTCACACACGAGTAAAGTCAGAGGACACCGCTATGGACGTCCTTATGCATTCGCGCGATACATTTGGGACCTAAAGTTCTTTTCAATCGATCTCGGTGATTATCGTAACGCTTCGCTTTTAAATCAAATCATATTTCCGGTATTGTTTGTCGTAAGTATCGATGGGTACGTACTTGCGTTTCTTCACGATGCACCTTCAGACAATGTCTCGTTGAAGTGATCGGAGTACACGATTATCCACGATAGCTATACCACAATGCGGTGATAACACAAACAATGAAATATTAAGTGATTGTATCTGCACATAATTTAAAAGAATAATAGAATGCCAGAAACTGGATCGTGATTTTAAGTTATTAAGAAACAATAGCGCATGCATTTTTCTCACGCAACTTGCACACGATAAATTATGTTCTGTTCATTCATTACAGATTCAATAAATATAAAAAGTAATCTATTAATGCAATAATAAAATTAACGAATAGAGTTAATGTCATGTAAATGTGAATGTTTAACTCATCAAATCGTTTAAAGAATTTTTTTTAATTAATAATATAATTTACAGCGCTTATCGCTTTAGTAAAAACACCAATTTCATAGTTTTAGTGTATATCACTAAATATTTAAATATGCAAATAGTATCGAGATTAATAAGTATACGTGAAGTAGTAATTTTTATCGTATAGTGAGCTAGTAACTCTCTTCCTGCGAATTCAGATAAACAGGAAATACACGATCTAATGAAATTTGGCCTATGTTTCGTGAAAGTTTTGCGAAAATTAGCTCTATCTTTTTGATGATAATGTGTTCTTCTTTCTATAATTATCTACTATTATTATCGATTAATTATTTATTAGCAGAACGACATATGTATTTTTATATGTAGCCCGATTCCCATTAGCTGTTGTGTAGACACCCGAGATTGGATGTTTGTGAAATTTTATCAGGTGTATTTTTCAGCACCTGTGAGAAAGTATTCAACCGGATTCCCTTAGCGTAATACAATCTTATCCTATGGACCAAGTTACCCCCCTTCCGCGGAATAACATTTTCAGGGATGGAGCTTTTGAGTGTTTTATATCTTGACTTTTAACTCTTTTACGAAGAACTATATACTCGAAGAAAAATATAACGAAGTATTTTAAGCCGTTAATGTTATCACCGTTTTCAGTCAGATATATATGTACCTTGATATTTTTCGTAAAAATATGAATTTCAAGAGAAAAATAAAAAATTATAACGGATGTAAACGAAACGTGTTCGTTAAACGGTACAGTTAACAGTAATATTACGATTCCTTCGTGATTTCTAATAAGAACGAAGGAACTAGAAATTAAATTCTTATACCGGGGTACGTAATTTTCGTGTGAAAACATTTATCTTTCTAAACAAGAGAGAGAGAGAGAGAGAGAGAGAGAGAGAGAGAGAGAAAATAAATATATTTTGAAACGCACAATTATATAAATATAATAAATATGTTGAATTTAAAAAAAAATTTAATTATTTAACCGGCTATATAGGACGTTGCGGTTATAAATTGCAAATTGGATTTGACATGGCTCAGGATAATGTTTATAACATGCTTATCGTTTGTTACAGAGCACGTACTTGTTACAAAGTAATTTATAATATTTACGTTAGGCCTAAAATAATCTTTACGATCATATGATTCAGTTATTGCAGTTAAATCTCGTTAGAAAAGTGTCATGTTAATTGTGTACAGCATCAAAACGTTGTTGTAAACCTCATGAAGCGTACTCCCAAATTCGATAAGACAAAGAAACCAAATTACGATTTGATCGAATCCGGATTAATGCATTTGTCGATAAACGCGAGATGTGCTAACGAGATTTAAATGCTTACGAATTTTCACGCCGTTCGTTTATAATTTGGGAGTCTTGATGAGGTGAAGTATTATCGTTGCCGTTTAGCACATAAGCCGGGATGCACGATTGTTGATTTTTGATGAACGTTTGACAGAACACACCGGACGTATGCAGGATTATTTTCGATACTTTATGGATGTGGAAGAATGTTTTACATTACATCGACTTCCAAATCATTTACGAACGGATTTGGTATCAGTAATTATTCATCTGCGAGCTCGCGAGATTTATGGTATTTGACCTTTTGTTTTTTTAGGCACGCAGCACATCGCCGAAATGTACGAACTGCACCGACTATGATGCCAAAGCAATACACACAAACGAGCGCTACGCTTGCGACAAAACTCTCTTCTAAAACTAGTATTAAATCTATAACGTGCACACAAAAACGGTCAATATGCGAATATAATATGCGAGTCTTGGAACACGCCAAACGTACGAGAATGACTCTCTGTAATGTCTGTGAAACATGATTTCGTGACGACGGTCTTTCCGTTTCTCACGTGTTACCTAAAGCGTAAGTTAGTTTATAGCGTGTGGAATTGTTTTATATGTTTCGATACGATTTGACTGCGCCTTAGAAAGAGAAAAAAAAGAGCGGAAAAAAAAAAGAGAGAGAAACGGTACAGTATTGAGACATGTATATCTTACGCGGATATTACGGCTGTCTATGTGTCGCGTGTTCTCTCTTTATAGGCACACAAACCAAAGATATGTGAAATCTATCGTCGTAAATCCCCGTGTATAGGAAATATTTAAAACGAAATGTAATTTCTCATTTTACGGTACTTATACCACGCGCGTTCACCTACGCAGTATTTTTTACTGTACTCGTTTTGATCAACTGCCGCGCAAACGGCGCTTGTAAGTCTAGCATTATACATTATATGATAGTCCTATCGAACTGTTGACGAAAGTATCACATATATGTACGTTAGATTATGGAGATATTTATTTTTAAGTTTTTGAATTATAAAATCCGTTAAAAATCGAAGGCTCTACCTATTATTATTGAACCCTTGGGATATATTGTTTACTCGAGCCGAAGCTCGCGTGGCTCACGCAAGACACGGCGTGATCGCGAGTGTTCGTATAATATCTCTACGTTGTTTCTAGAGTTGAGATTTTAATAAAGAAAATTGAAACACAATCACCAGAGTTTACGTCAATGCTTCTTTTCTTTCGCACATATTTAATTATAAATGGATGGCGATAGCGAATGAAAACCGATGGGGTTCAAAGAAGATATATTATTCGATATGTTGCGGATACAACATTTGCGTTATAACATTTGATATAAATATTAAATATTGAAATATTAAAAGTGAAGTAAAAGTGACTCTAAACAGTAATAATTAACTCAATCGAAATGATCTGTCAAATATTACTCTCATTAATACAAATAGAATTTCTCATTGTTCGACACGTGGAAAGAGAAATTAAAAATTGGGGACGATGAATTAATTACAATTAGAAATTTTATATGCAATTGATTCAATTAATCACTAGTTAAATTAATCAGCAGCTTATTTATTAAATAATTTTTCATTGATATAAACAGAGTTATCAATTTTTTGTTTGTCAATAAATCGAAAGAAAAATTATTAAATTAGGAATAACAAATTGTATAATTATTATCCTGCTGCAAATCTGCCGGTTGAAGCTCGATGACATATCCAAATTTGAAATACGTTAGACATCTTATATTTCGATTTTGAACATGTATTTGGATTATTTATTGATATATATTATTGAGTCGAAATTATAACATTAATATTATATATTATTTTAGTTTCTATCAATTGGATTAGAACTAGAAAAGTTAAATCGAAATTAAATTAATCTACATTGGCAGAAATAAATTTGATGATTGATGATTGTCTAATCAATATTTGTACTATTTTATTACATTTTGTATATAAACAAAATTATTAATTTTTTATTTAATATTTTAAAAAATTAGATTAAAAATAATAAATTACATAATTGAAAATTTTACTTTTAAGTATTTTTACTGAATTAACTGATCATGATTATGTATTATCTGTGCACTATAATATATCTGTTTAATATTTTATTAACATAAATAAAATTTTCTAATTTCTTAACATAAGAAAGGAAAAATTAGATTAGAGATGATAAATAATATATTTAGAAATTTTGTTTTCAGCTTGAATTAATATTTTACAGATTAAATTAATAGCCAATAATTAATGATTAATTGAGTTAATCGAAATTTGATTAAAGTGGCTCTATAAAGATTACGTAGAAATATTCAACAGTGCGATAACAAACAATGCATTTGATGTGTACAAGCTTTCTTTCAAAAGATAAAGCCCATTCTATAATTGTATAAGCGTAGTTGTAAGAGTTGTAGTTGTAAAAGAATCAATCCCAGTCAAATGTGAAGAAAATATTTAATTGTGATTGGTCAATTCTTACAACTAAAACCACTTACAAATTTCGTCGCCTTACGCAGATTTTCTGCGCACCACTAAATCTCCCGCTCGTGCGCAGATCTGTTCTCTGTCATTGCATATCGTTGCACCTTCTGCACCTAAAATAGGACGGGCATACGTTGTACGTTGAAGGGAGAAAGAGAGAAGCTGAAAAGTGCACGAAGTACAGTTGCGAAGAACCAAGCTCTTATCGCACGTGCGAACGGCCATATTGGAATTCGCTCCTGTCGCCGCGGGCTCGTGATCGCACGCGTCGCGACGTAGATACGTCGTCACAATTAGCAGCGTGTTCGACCTGAGTCGCGGTACAGGGAGGAGTCGTTATGTCGTTCGGTAGCGGCTTCGGAGCGTCCACGTCGACGCCCGCACCTACGTTCGCATTCGGCACCACGCCGGCATCCACAGCGACGCCGGTTAAACCTGGTAAGCCACTTCTCATCACAAGATCGTTTGTTTCTCATCCGTATCTCCTCCTTCCTTTTCTCCTTCCTTCTGATTTCATCTCTCTATCGAACGTAGGGACGCGTTCCTCGCTTTCGTACGTAGATATCTCGTGACAATTTGTGTGACAATTTTGAGGTTAAGAACGGTTACTCCAGCGAGGTACTTTGTCGGGTTCTTCAATGAAATTCAGGAATATTCGAGACGCTCGACGTAAAAATGGGACCTTCTCAGTTTCTCGTCGAGTTAGTTCTGCTGGTTGTGTCGGAAGCTTTGTCCAGCAGAGGCTGGTTTACACCCCCGCAATCCGGGCTGCACTCGACGTCGCTCTTCGCGAGGAAAGCGTGCCTGCTCCTAGATCTCGCGATAATACACGCTGTGACGCAACACATGAATAATATAATTAAGAGGATGGTCAACAAAATGATTAGCAACGTCGAACGTCCGGAGTATTCGTCGGATTTGACGGTTTCGATCGAAGCCAGGGTGGTATGACTGTGGTCCGGTATTATGTGCGACTCGGTGCTGTAAGTTTCAATTTTCCTACTGGCAGTTGTATCTTCCAAATAATACATTTCATTTGGAATTTTACCAAGTGTCGTTATCATGATTTCCGCAGTTGCGTCCTGTGCAAAGATAAGTAAATTAAAATCATTGCTAAATCAGTTAGGAAATAAATTTTTATAACAATTGTTACCCCAATTGCTATATCTGTAGTACCGAGTTCGCTTACAATTTGAGTGGAAAGATCATGTACTGACTTAATATGACGACTGAAGACCGAATTAGATGCAGCGGCTGCCTGCAGTGAATTATGTGCCAATTGTGTGTAGAAGTTGGCCTGTTAAAGAAAACGTTTTTAATTATTTTCTATTAAATTGCTATATTTTAATAACGTCAAAAAATACTTATAAGTTTTAAGTTTGCCTAGCATCAAAATAGTCTATTTTTATGTTGCTATTACCTGTAGATCATTCTGTTGACTTAGGAGTGCCATCTTGTATTATTTTATGTATTTTATATTATATGACCATATATTACAAGTTTATATATGTATTTGTAATCAACTTTTGAATTTTTTAATATATAGAAATCCAAATAGTATAATCTCTGCAAACAGTTAAATTTAGTATTCATGCAGTATCTTCCAATATATATAATCACAATTAAAAATATAAACGTTAAATTAAAATTATTTTCGTAAAACAAGCAACGAAAAATGTCATAATAGTAAATACCTTTTAATTGATATTTACCTAACTTCATGTTAAACAAAAAAAAGATAACTTAAGCAGTGTTCGATATCTACTACACTTAGGCTGGATTGTTTCATCTTTCGATAAACTTTAGCTCATTCTCTTATTCTCTTACTCTTTCATATTCTTATTCTTTTACTCTTTTGTTTATTCATTAGATAAATTATCACATAGTTTATCCGAAAATGAAATGACTGGCCCATCGTATTGAAAATCTATAGTGCATGTATATTATGTATATTATAGATTTTCAATACTGGTAATAAATATATATAAACATAGCATTTATTAATATATTTAACAAAAGTGTTTATTTTGTAGTTTTTGTTGAAAGTGCTAACTAGTTACAAATTTTTAAGTGCCAGGATTTGGAACACCCTCGTTTGGATTTAGTACACCGACTACTTCAACGCCAAGCTTGTTTAGCTCGCCATCGACGCAGACTACTGGATTTGGTACTGGCACTGGATTTGGTACCCCGACAGCCACTGGTTTTGGCAGTGCACCTAGCACGGGTTTTGGAGCTGCACCTACATTTGGTACCCCGTCAACCAGCGCCTTTGGTTCGGCATCCGCTTTCGGTAGTACTCCCGTTTCCTCCACAACTACTGGATTTGGTACAACTTCGACATTTGGCAGCACTCCTGCTCCCACAACTGGTTTCGGTGGTTTTGGGACAGCGACAACATCGACATTAAGTTTTGGAGGTTTCGGTGGATTTGGAACTGCGACCACTACTGCTGCCCCTAGCTTGTTTGGTGGATTCGGCACTCCAAATACTGCTTCAACAGGTTTCGGTACATCAGGTTTTGGTGCATTTGGGAGCAAACCAGTTACTACTAGTGGTACATTCGGTGGATTTGGGACAGGTGCGAAATCTTTTTATATATAGATTAAAGTTTCTGATATTGCAATATTTTTTCCTTATTTTTTATTAATATATTATATATATATTATAGGGACAGGATTCACTGGATTTGGTACTGGATTGACGCAGCCTCAACAGCAACAGCAACAACAACAACAACAACAACCTACAAATACTGCATCAGAAGCTCTCTACAATGCCGTGTTCAATTGTCAATTGTATAATGACGAGCGAGATAATACTATTGCCAGGTGGAATCTTATACAAGCATTATGGGGTACAGGAAAAGCTTATTACTCCGTAAATGCCCCACCTATAGACCTTACTCAGGAAAATTCGTTATGCAGATTTAAAGCCATTGGATACAGTCGCATACCTGATGCTGACAACAATGATGGTTTAGTAGTATTATGCTTTAATAAGAAAGAGAAGGATGTACAGGATGGAAAACAGCAATTAATAGCATTTTTTAATGGTTTGCTGGGAAATAAGTCCAATCTGACAGTAACCGTTGATAATATTAAATCAACGGGGGAGAACAAAAGTCAAGTGACAATATATGTATCAGAAAAAGGAATCACTGGTTCTTACAGAAAAATTCCTGCTAATGAATTGGTTGCATATTTATCGCAAGTCATGCAAAAACAGCAGTTAGTACAAAATGGAGTAGAAGATATATTTCCACTGGTAAAACTTGATCCATCACAGCTGAAAGAGTACCTAGATAATCCACCTTGCGCTATTGATGCCAGATTATGGAAGCAAGCGCAGTTGGACAATCCGAATCCAGAGTTGTATATTCCAGTTCCTATGGTTGGCTTTCAGCAAGTTAAACACAGACTGAAATGTCAAGAAGAGGAAACTGCTAGACATAGAGCGTTTTTGGACATGGCAGCTGAAAAAATACAAGGCTTACAAAGACAGCACACAGCTACACAAGCCAGACTTAAGGAACATAGGCGTACATTGTTGGAACTTCAGCACAGAGTTCTACAGGTATAGCAACGATTAATTTTTCTTGTTCTTGTTAATTGACTCTTAGCTCCATAAGTGGAACATATATTGGCCAGTAACAGATCGTTAACTAACTTTTAAGTCTTACGTATACTTAATCAAACTCTTGTCTTTTAATCAGTGACATGATGGAAGAAACCCGAGCACATCTGAATTTCTTTCACCATGATCAGGAGAATACGTGGTGTAGCAATTATGCTCCTTAGATCAGGAAACACAGTAGTGTCTCGATGCTAAGACAAGCATCGATAGACACTATCGTGTACTTATAAAGTCTTTATATCATGCGTGTACTTTACGCGAGACCTTAATTATTCCGCAATTGAGACTGTTATTCATAGATAGAGCGTAACTTAAAGAAAAATCCGGCATACGTGAGGCATGGATGAGATCGAATCTGGATTCACGGATTACTAGTCCGCGGACCGAGTACCGAGCCACCCGATGCCTCGCAATGATTAATTGATTTTAGTCATGTTTTTTTTCCGTTGACCGTTTAAAGGTGCTGGTACGGCAGGAGATTACGCGAAAAGTGGGATTATCCTTACAACCGGAAGAAGAAGTTCTAACACGCAGATTTGAAGCAATGCATTCGCAAATCAGTGCTCCAACGCAATATAAAGGAAGAATTAGTGAAATGCTTTCTCAGCTCAGAATGAGGCGACACATCGATATTCAGAACCAAGAGAGGTATACAATGGATCCTATAGCACAGGATGATATTAAAGCGGTAAGAAAATGTTCATTTGATCTAATTTAAAATTCTTATCGAATAGTATCTGTAATATTTTCTTATTTCAGTACCTAAGTATGGAACAGCAGGGCATGGCGCAGCTTATTTCGACAATAAATGCTGATTTAGAAAGCTTAAAAGTCATTAAAGATGGAATGTCAGAGCTTTTGATGAGCCAAAGTATATCATGAGGATTGTAATATATAATAAAATTTTTTCATGTCTTCTATACAATTAAAAGATAATATGTTTATTAATGTTTATATAAATGATCATGATTGTGTAAATTTATTTTTATTTTTCACACAGCAGTGCCATATTTATTTCATAAATTCTACTTTTTTTTCTTTGTAATCGAACATTGACGTATCAATTAATGATATAAGGAATGTCTACAATGGAACGCGTATAATAAGCCGTAAGAAATCAACCGATCACAGTCTGTTTTCTCATTTAACTGATTAGTCAATTTCTTACAGCTTACTACTTATTACAGACAGCCCTTAAATGTTGAAGATGGTTATTATATATATAAATTATTTTCAATTTTATATTAAAATTTAAAAATGCAATTTAATAATTCTTGCTTATATTGTAAAGAAATATTATATTTTTTAAGCACATATTATTTTTTTCATTTATTCGACGTTATACTTTGAAGTATATTTTAATATCTTGAAAAATATGTTAAAAGTGTGCTATATAAAATAAAACAAAATGCATATTGCATAGATAAATAAAAGAATGATTTAATAAATGTATAAAATAACAAAAAAGGAAATATTCCACAGCGCACATAAATATAAAATCTACAAATTGTGATATATTTCTGATTGAATATTGTTGATCGAAAAACGTGACCCTTTACAAAATACGTATTCACAATGATTTGATATAATTAGTGTGAATTAAATTGGAATATATCAAAATTATAATTATTACAAATGGGAATGAAATTTCCCTTATTTACAACTTTTTATCATTTTCTATAACGTCAGTTCCTTTATTGGCATTTTTCGTCGATGATAGAGATTTATTGTGAACATCCTGGCCTATGGTCATCTTTAATAATTTTAGAATGGACTTTTTATCCGCATTTTCATTTTCTGTAAGCAAAATGCATTTTGTTAATGTTTTCACAATTATAAGATAAAACGTTATGTACTTACCTTCAGTAATTACTCCAGTAATTTGTTGTTCAAGATGCAACTTTTCTTGCGCTATCTCATACATGCCTTCCTCTATTGTGCCTTCACTTAATAATCTTATGATAGAAACGGGTCTGCAAGAGAATTCAGCATCTTGAATATGTTTATTTTAATGAATGATAAAAAAAGTTTTATCTCGACTTAAAAATATGCTTAAATTTTGTGATTATGCATACTTCTTTTGTCCTACACGGTGGCATCGATCTTCTGCTTGTTTATCATTGTACGGATTAAAATCTATATCGTGTAATATAACTGTATCGGCAGCAGTTAAATTGATCCCTAAACCTCCGGCTCTTGTTGATAATAAAAATATGAATATACTTGGATCTTCTGTGTATTTATTTATAAGAGTCTGTCTCTCAGTCACAGGTGTACTGCCATCTAGTCTAATTTCAATATTAAATTCATTAGAATTAATCTGAGACAGCATACAGCCACAATAATAATTAATTATAACAAACCTTAAAAATGTCTGTCCCCTAATAGTTAGATATTCTTCAAGTATGTCTAATACCATAGTAAACTGGCTAAATATGAGTACCCTGTGACCATCCGTTTTCAATTGTGGTAGTATCTTGTCCAGTTCCTTTAATTTACCAGCTTCAGGAATAAGTTCTTGGGGTAAACCGAATCCGGCTATACTTTTATATATACGAGTTAATTGATTTATTTGGTAATCAGATGTCCAAATCAGGTCTTCAAAGACGTATTCCGGATTCTTCTGTTTGTAACCTGGTTCTTTCGCCAATCTACTTGCTATAGCCTAATGATTGATAATTTATAATAAATCATACCAATTAAAGAAAATACCAATAGAAAGAAATTGCCACCAATAGACAGAATGCATACATACATTTAATTTATTCTCGTCATAATAATCACGTATGAGAAGGGGATGATTGGCGAGCTTCCTCAACTGCATCATCATGCCAGTACCATTTACATCTGTAATTTCGCTGGCCTCTGCTGAAAATTGAGCGACTAACTTGTTATACATACTTTGCTGTTTTTCAATTAATGTACATCGTATTATTTCGTCTTTCTTATAAGGCAAATCACGTAAAACTTCAACTTTAAGTCGTCGAAGAACAAACGGCCGCATAATTTCCTTTGCATTTTTAACTTGTTCTCTTTCGAACATCGGCTGCTCTCCGTTCTTCTTATCACTCGGTGCTTTCTGCAAAATTTATTCAAAGTAGATAAATTGTAAATAAATGACATATATATAAAATGATTAATGCATTTTTAATAATAATATTTTAATGGCTTACCGGATTTTTAGAGAATAAGCTTTTTAAATCTGCTTGTTTTCCAGCAAATAATGAAGGCATTACAAATATTAACAAAGACATTAATTCCAATAAATTATTTTGTAGAGGTGTACCAGTCAATAGAATTCGACGCTTAGCCTTTAAAAAACAGATTTCGAGATTTTAAGAAAACTTCTTACATTTCCATACGAGATCTGTCCCAAAAAGTATCAGACTTGCGTATCTTTGTTTTTGAGCATCTCCTCTATTGTGGAAAATAGGGATTCAATATTTAGGGAGGATTTTGAGGAAAATGCCTGTTTTCTACAATGCCCAAGATATACGCAGAAGTCGAATACTTTTGCGATAGATCTTGTATAATGTATATAAATATATAATTAATACATACATTAATTCTGACAAGATTTTCGTATCTAACACTGCTCATATTCTTAAGCATATGTGCTTCATCAAAGACTACATAATTCAACGGCATAACGCGAAATAGTCTACGCTCCTCTGGAGTACTACATATTAAACTATATGTAGTTAATAAAACATCGACATCATCAAGATCACCATTTCGCCAACCCATTCGCATCTCTTTCCGTTCCTCTTGAGAGCCGTAATACTGTACTACTTTCAAGCTAGGTGACCATCTTTCTAGCTCATCCATCCAATTTTCTATACCAGGAAAAGATTTTTGCATATTATAAAAACTCTGTGAAGCAAATGTCTAAAAACACAATATATTTACCCATAGTTGAACTGGGAACGACAATTAAATGAGGCCCATCCTTTTCATCGAGAAGCTCAGCTTCTTTCAGATATGTCAAAAATGCTATCACTTGTATTGTTTTCCCTAAACCCATTTCGTCGGCTAGTATACCATTTACATTCTGTGCATGCAAAATAGCAAGCCAATTTAGGCCAACTATTTGATACGGAGCTAATGTCAAATTTGATGATAATGCTTTTGGCTGCTGTGTTATAGACGATGCGCCAGCAGCTACAGCTTTTTCCATGTTGATTGATAAACGAAAGCATTTTTTCATAAGATGTTCTACCGCATGACGTGTAGATAGTAATACCTTTTTATGCATTAAAATAGAATTAATAGTTTTATATATATATATATATATATATATATATATATGCATATGCGCGCGCGCGTGTATTTACTTATAAGAATTATGAAAATATCTTAAATTTAATGAAAATCAATCTTTGTTCTCGAATTCTAATAATTTTGTAAAAGATAAAAATATCGTTAATTACATAGGTTATTTCTTTCAAATTTACCTGAGCTGCATTCAATAATTCTGTATCTAAATATTTTGTATTTTGAAATTTATTCACTAAGTCTCTCCAATCTTTAAATGGCCTTGCATCTATAATGGCTTGGGCTTTTTTTGAAGAACATTGCGACATCAGAAGTAGTTCCGCAAGTATAGCATTTTGCATAAATTCTAAAACTGCCTTTTTATCACCTGTGAGCTCATTAGATATCTCTATATCCGAATCCTCATCACTGTAAAATAATTACATATATTTATATATAGCGATATATATTTAAATTTAATTGTGAATACAATTTATTACAAAATAACATACCTATTAAATACTTTGTCTTTGTAATCACCCTCATCTGAATCGATATCTATGTCCTCGTCTTCATTTAATTTTCTTCTTTTCATTTTGCTATTTTTTGCAGACGCTTTCAAACTCCGTTTCCTATGTTTTTTAAGTGTTTCCTCTGCCTCCTCGACGTTCCAATTGGTACTTTTAAGTACTTCCTGTATATGCTAAAAAATGGTTCATATCATTTTTTTTATTTAATATTTAATATATAATCATAAATGTTCAATTAAGCATTCAGGTAACAATAAGCTGATATTATTTTGATAATATTAAATAATATAAAATATGATAAAGAAAGCCATGATCGATCAAAGTTAGATGTTTCAAATAATAAACATTATATATTCTTTATTAAATCAATTTATTCCAGATATGATTGCGCGCTGATAACTTTCGAACTTTCAATTATTTTAAAACACTAATAATCCCCCCTAAATTAGATTAGAGAGAAAGATCGTACTTTCTAATCTAATTTAGGAGGGATTATTAGCGTTTCAGAATAATTATGTTGAAAGTCCGAAAGTTATCAGCGTGCAATTATATCTGAAATAAATTGATTTAATAAAGAATATATAATGTAATAAATATTAATTAAAAATTTCCAAGCGATTGAGAGCAATAATAGCGCAGTAGTTGATGCATTTGATCTTACAATAGTATTTCAATTTTTATAAATCGATCGAACGTTTCACTCCATTCAAGCTATCTTCAGCGATGAAGTACTTAATTACATGTGATATTCTTGGTTTTAAATCAATGTTATGTATTAAATCAAAGAGTGCAGTAAGGAGAGTCATTCAATTTCAAATTTAAGAAAGTTAAAAAGCTATGCGGCTAAATGATCACTAAAAGAAAATAAAGAATTAGCGAAAGACAGTTGTGAAGAGAAAAATGAATCTTAAAGAGACTTACTGCACTCCTTGACATTGTACACTGTTGTACACTGGAGGACATTATAATAATGTGTCAGAAACGAAAATTAAGAAATATGGACTTCAATATCGAATTAAGTTCGTTATACAAATGAGCATTGAAACATGATATTGAATAATCATAGAATAAAATAAACATTTAAGAAACATGAATCTTCAATGTACATTATGTAGATAGTTAAACATATGATAGTCTATAT